ATCATCAGGTTATATTCATCGAACAGTATCGAATGATAGTTGTATTTTTGATGATAATACTCTTCGACATGTGGTAAAAAAAAAACCGATATTTTTCTTTTGATCATATATATTATTTATTTTTATTCTTTTGTTTTTTTAGGAAGATTTATTAATAAATTTAAAAAAACGTCGACAAATTTTAAAAGAAAATCAACGAACAATTAATGAAGAAATTGAAGATAATAAAACTCTTGGCGCTAAGGTAGAATTAAAAGAATAATTGAATAATAATTGAATAATAATTGATTTCTTGATTTTGTTTTTAGCTATTAAATATAATTGAATCAAACGCTGAATTAAGTGAAATCGAAAAATTTAAATTACATATTAATGAAATCGATACAATAACATCCATACTTCTTAAACTAAGTAGTCGATTAGCTAAAGTTGAAAATGATTTATCAATGCTTTCCGGTAATAATGAACATACAAAGGTAAATCTTAATAAATCAAATAATGGAAAAAAGATTTATATTAGTTCTATAATGGTAAACAATTAGCTCATATCTAGACAGTAATATTAATAGCCAATCAAGCTTTCTATCTAATGTATGCTATAATAAGATTTCCTATGATGGCAAGCTTTATAAAAAAAAATCGGACATAGTAATTTTCAGGTTGTAGAAGCTATTTTGCAATCGTGCCTTTTTAAAGAACACAAAATGAGGATCGCCGCATTTTCTAGGATCTTCTATGAAAAAAGTTGAAACTATAAAAAAAACGAAATTCCTCAAACATCAACTAAAAAAAGTTTTTTTTTTCTCCGATTTTTATGATGTTTTTAACTTTTCAGGAAGAACTCGTAGAAAATGTGACGATCCATCATTTTGAACTCTTTGAAATCTCATAGTCTTCAGGCACCTGAAAACCAGCATGTTCGGTTCTTTTTAGAAATCTTACCATGATAGTTCATCTATAAAATCTTGCTATAGAATACATTAGATAGAAAACTTCATTGACTATTAAAATTATCATGGGCTGGAGTCTATCGGGTTGGTTGCGATCATGTTCGGGTCCCATAGGCTCTAGTCGCGTGAGAAATATATAGGATACGCTAGTCATCAAATACAAAAAATTGGAAAAAAAAAGTATCTCATATGTTTGGAGCGACTATCTAATTCTGATTAGAAAATTTCATTCAAAGTATCAAAGTACGGTTCGAAAAAGTTTGCACTCGATGAGTTCTA